GAGAGTAAACAGCAGGAATTGGTTATAAATCAGACAAAACTCAGGCCTGGCAGAAATTGCAGCTGAAGAATTTTCAATCAAACAGAACTAGATTCAAATCCAACCTCTGCACTTAGGACCAGTAGATGGAATTCAGATAAAAACCCTAGGAAGACCAGGCATGGTGGTTCACATCTGTGATCCCAGCAAGGGTTAGACTAGGTTACATAGCAAGACTTAGTCTCAAGCAAACAACTGAAAGGAAACCTTTGGAAAGATAAGTCTTAGACAAATGTTGCCTTGAACTCTTCTTTTCCCCACATGATGTTTAACTCAAGACAAGAGCTCATCATGTAACCCACACTAGGCTTGAACTCTACTTCTTCATGCCTCTACTTCTTGAGTGCTGCTATTACATGAATGTGCTGCCATACTCAGTTCCTTGGACTCTCTTTTCTCACCCACCCACAGGATGGGCCAGTTCCAGAGCCCAGGGACCCACAAGGCTCTCAGCTCTGCTCTGGCCCGTTTCCTCCAATCCTTCCACTTCTCTCTTCCCACAGGTCCTCCCCATGCCCCAGAGCTGCATCTAAAGCACATTGGCAAGACCTGGGCCAAGCTGGAGTGGGTACCCAGGCCCCCTGAGCTGGGGAAGAGCCCCCTAGACCATTATACCATCTTCTGGACCAACACTAAGGACCAGTCCTACTGTGAGTCTATCCTCAGCTCCTCATAGCTACAGAAGATCTGGGAGGGGGGTGCTCAGTAGCCCTCTAGGGGGTTCAGCACCCCAGCCTAAGTTGACCACATACCCCATCCCACCCCACCCTTAGCCACCATCCTGAACACCTCCTCCCACAGCTTTGTCCTGCATGGCCTGGAACCCGCTAGCCTGTATCACATCCACCTCATGGCCACCAGCCAGGCTGGAGCCAGCAACAGTACAGGCCTCACTCTGATGACCTTGGCCTCAGGTAAGGGGAGAGGGGAGCTGGCAGAAATGGCTATGGGGATTGTGTCCACCTGAAGGATTTTGATTTTGAGAGAAGATATGAATGTGCTTCTGGATCCCATGTCAGACCATGGATTCCCCCAACCTAAGTCAGAAACTCAGCCCCACTCCTGGATCTCAGTCTGGGGAGGAGACCCAGCCTCATCCATGGATTCCAGCCTGAAGGAGAAGTCCCAACCTCACCCACAGATCCTAACTTGCAGAACAGTTCATCTTTTCCACATGCACACTGACCTCTTCTGGCTTTCTCTTCTCTAACCCTAGGGAATTTGGAGCTCTACATATTCCTGGGCCTGTTTGGCCTCCTGGTTTTGCTCATCTGCCTCTGTGTGGCTACCTGGTTCTGGTACAGCCCCAGGTAAGATCGGTTGAGAGAACTGGCTCTTACCCACAGGGCACTGCCAGCTGGTGAGCAGAGGAGGGGTGGCAATCTAAGTCCCTTCCAGCCTCATCCCCCCTATACCCCACTTCACCCCTCCTCAGCTGCTGGGATGAGATGAAAGGAAGGCAGGCTGGGAGGGTACACCTGACCTTTCACCTTCCCCCTTCTCCAGCAGGAAGAATCCCCTCTGGCCAAGCGTGCCAGACCCAGCCCACAGCAGCCTGGGCTCCTGGATACCCAAAGCCATGGCAGAGGTGAGCACATGAAGGGAGAGGGAAATGTGGCTGGGGCTGTTAGCTTCAGGTTCAAATAAAAGTGAAAGAATACTCTTCCGAAGATGAGCACACAGGGTTTTTGCATCATGATGCGCAAGAGTTGCATCCTTTAGGAGCGATACAGACCTAGATTTGAATGGCAATTGGACCATCTCAAAGCGTCAGTCACTTCACTGTGTGGTGGGAGGGGTCACCATGCCGGGCCTGAGAGGATAGGATATTTTGCAGGTCCAACTCTATATTCTACCACATAGCACAGGAACATCCCCACAATTACCCTGATTCAGAAAGAATAGTATCTGGAACAGATATTTGAAATGAACCATTCCTTCACTTCCTGTCTCTGTGTCCAGGAGATCTTCCCACTGCCCAGCCTTTGGGACTCAGGAATGCCACCCATCACCAAGATCACTGTGCTGGAGGAGGAGAAGAAGCTGGGGTCCTGGGAGTCCAGTGACAGCTCAGAAACCTGCAGCCTTCCCACCACAGTCCAGGCCTACATACTCCAGGGGGGCCCAAAAGCAACATCCACCCCACCCCAGCCCCAGTCTGGCACCAGTGACCAGGTCTTTTATGGGCAGGTGCTAGGCAGCCCAACCAGCCCACGACCAGGGCACTACATCCGCTGTGACTCTACGCAGCCCCTTCTGGGAAGCCTCACCCCCAGTCCTAAATATTATGAGAACATTTGGTTTCAGAATAGTCCCTTGGAGACCCCCATGGCTCCACTCCCAAGCCAGGAAGATGACTGTGTCTTTGGGCCACTGCTTGACTTTCCCCTCTTGCAGGGGCTTCGGGTCCATGGTATGGAGGGATTGGGAGCCTTCTAGGGTTTTCTGGGGTCTCTTCATCTGGAGCTACCTCTGTCTAGAGGAAAGGAGAAGTTGGTAAGCCCATCACTAAAAAAAAAAGTTACCAGCCCCAGGAAAAGTAGAAAGGATCCAAGTTTCTCCCTGTTCCTGGCCTCCATCATCTCTCCTTCACCCTAACCTCCATGTGCAGGCCTCCCAGACCACCCCATACTTGAGCCAGATAATGTTCCATCCAGCCCACCTGCTAGCCTTTTGTGTCTTTTTTCCCTGTTTTTCAATTTCTTAAATTGTTTTTTGACTTTGAGTTTTTGTTGTCTGTAGAAACTCTGGGTATGATGGTGCACACATGTACTGCCAAAACTTGGGAGGTTGAAGCATGAGGACCTTGGGTTTCAGATTAACTTGGTCTGCAGAGAAAGAGGGAGGGAGGGAGGGAAAAGGGAGAGAGGAAGGGAAAAAGAGAAGAAACAAATTCTGAGTATGCCTGAGAATCTGTCCTTTTACTTTTTGGGTTCCAGCAGTCAGGGAGCAAGCACCTAGCATAGGCCCTGTAATAGTGGCAAGGATTCAAAAAGGACAGCTCAGCCAACCCTCAGACAGCTCCCATTCTGGTGGTGGAGACCAAACATTGTCAGTGCCCAGAAGCAAGGCTAACATGGAAGGAATCACAGAGAGCTATGGAATATGGTAAACAGCCATCTGAAAGAACTAACCCTGCCTGTTGTGGTCATACATGCCTATAATTCCAGCACTCAGGAGACTGGAGTACAAGGCTGGCTTGGGCGACAAAGTGAGACCTGCCTCAAAAAAAAAAAATCCTTGGGGCTGGGAAGGTGGCTCAGTGGTAGAGCGCTTACCTTGCATGCCTGAGGCCCTGGGTTCAATTCCTCAGCACCACATAAGAAAAAAGCCGGAAGTGGCGCTGTGGCTCAAGTGGTAGAGCTCTAGCCTTGAGCTGAAGAGCTGAGGGACAGTGCCCAGGCCCAGAGTTCAGGCCCCACGACCGGACCCAAAAAAAAAATCCTTATTGGGGAAACATAATAAAAAATAAAAATAGTATCTCAGGACTGGATATATAGCTCAGTAACTGAATGTTTGCCTAGCATGTGTGAGATCCTGGTTTTGACTCCCAGTAACAGAGTTAAAAAAAAAAATCTGCTAGCCCAGAAACCCTGTAAAAGAGAAAGAAAAGGTTTTATTGTTGAATATGCATTAAGTTAGAACATGATATGCATAACAAGAGATCCACTGAAGAGACTGCAGCTGGGCGGCAGTGGCTCGTGCCTATAATCCTAGCTACTCCCGAGGCTGAGATCTGAGAATTACAGTTCAAAGTCAGGCCTTGTAGAAAAACCCCCATGAGACTCTTATCTCCAATAAACCACTCAGAAAAAGCCAGAAGTGGTGCTGTGGCAGAGCACAAAGAAGCTCAGGGACAGCACTCAGGCCCTGAGTTCAAGCCCCAGGACTGACCAAAAAAAATAGAGATTGCAGAGAGGAAAGAAATCCTTCTTTTACATAGCCAAGTGGATAGTGGATACAGTTCATTACACATACCACATACTTTCTCAAGATAAAAAGTAATTAGGTTCAATTAAGAGGATTTGACAATACCGTTTTGTCCGTTTTGTCCATCCTAAATTTGCCTTTTAAATGGGGTAGCCATCTGTACTTGAGAATAGCCTTTATCCAAAGTGAAAAATTAACTTGTCATCTATTTAACATAAAGGTTTACAACTTGGAGATAGGCATCATTTGAAGTTGGGGTCCCTCCAACTAAACAGAAAGTCAGGACATCACAATCTCTAATGATTATATTTCAAAGAGATGATTCTCTCAAGTCCTTGAGAAAAACATTGCTGGATTGTGAAACTGGCAAGAAGTTTTACTTGACTTGTACGATTTCCACACATCTTGAAAGAGTATAGAAAGAATTCCCAATTACAAGTTTTCTAGCGTAATGTTCTTAGAAAAGCCTGCGGGAGAAGAGTCTTTGCACCAAAGGGATTAAAATGTGTTTCTGATTTCTAATTTACATTTTTCCTTTACACCCAGTTCCTCATTTCACAAATATCACAGCTTGAAGTTATTGAAGGCATAAGATTTCTCACCGTGCAGACATGTGGCTCTGTTAATTTTCTGGAGATGGTAACTCGATTGGGATTCCGGCCCAGCGATTATTTAGGAGGCCGAAAAGAGAATACTAACTAGTTTGAGGAGCCCAGGAGGGCAGGCCTGCAGAAGCCCCCCCAAGAGAACTAAGGCCAGGAAAATAAGAGGCGGCTGAAGAGACAAATAGGCCCAGGAAAAAGAAAAAAGTGGCACGTTACAGTTCATATAGCACATCACGGTACCAGCCACACTCGGCGCCCCCAATCTGTCCAATCGCCAGCCGAACCTCTCAACCACCATTTCCTCCTCCTCCCCACCCACCCTCACCCGACCCTCACCCCCCCCCATTCCTTGTGATCTTCGAGTCCCGCCCACCAATCCATTCTCTCGGTCCTCGGCTGCTCGGGTCGCCCCCGCCGCTTCCATTGGTCGAGCCTGACCATCATGGCGGCGCCCGTGTGAACCCGGTCCCGCCGTGAAGGGAGCGGTTGCCGCGGCGCGGCCCCGTGGGGATCAGGAGTCACCATGTTCAGGGCGGCGTGCAGGGCTCTGAGCTCGATCCGAAGCCATGCCTCAGTCTTTGGGCTGCCGGGCGGGGCGAGCGCCAGGCTTCCCTCAGCCCCGTGGGGCCTGCAGTCTCCAAGTGAGGAGCTGGGCCGCGGGGGGCGGCGGAGGGGGGGCGGCGGGGGGGAGTGGGGAGGGGCATGCCTCGGGGAGGGGGGGAGGCGGGGAGGGGGGGCAGGCCTCGGGGAGGGGGGGAGGCGGGGAGGGGGAGCAGGCCTCGGGGAGGGGGGGCGGCGGGGGGGAGTGGGGAGGGGCATGCCTCGGGGAGGGGGGGCGGCGGGGAGGGGGGGCAGGCCTCGGGGAGAGGAGGGGGTGGAGACCTGGGACGCGGGAGAGCGGCGGGGAGGGGGGGAGACGTGGGAGCGGTGGGGAGGGGGGGGACGCGGGAGAGCGGTGGGGGGGAGATGTGGGAGTGGTGGGGGGGACGCGGGAGAGCGGTGGGGGGGAGATGTGGGAGTGGTGGGGGGGACGCGGGAGAGCGGCGGGGAGGGGGGGAGACATGGGAGCGGTGGGGGGGACGCGGGAGAGCGGCAGGGGGGAGACGTGGGAGCGGTGGGGGGGGCGATGGAGAGCGGTGGGGGGGGGAGACCTGGGAGCGGTGGGGAGGGGGGGACGCGGGAGAGCGGTGGGGGGGAGATGTGGGAGCGGTGGGGCGGGGGGGGGGGGACGCGGGAGGGCGGCGGGGAGGGGGGGCAGGACCCGGGCCGCAGGCGGTGGGGGAAGGGTGAGGGGAATGGAAGCCCCCGGACTTAAGGAGACGCCTGTCGGCCCTCCCGGTCCGCCCAGGCCTTCTCCTGCAGGCTGCCCGCGGACACGCCGTCCAGAAGCCAGGTAAGAGGCCTTGGGGTGGCCAGGGGGGTGGCGGTGGCGACAGTGTGGGGAAATGAGCAGTGAGAGGCCATCCTCGGTGAACTCCGCCTCGCCCCTACTACATTTCACAGTCCAGCCCAGCCCAGCCCATGACCCACCCCTTTCCACGCTGCTCAGAGACTACCAGAACGTCCCTGGAATTGACAAGTAAGCCTGGGAGAAATGACTTGAGGGCTGGGGCACCTGGGGGGATCGGTAGACAAGTGGAGGAAGAGTGGCTGTGAGAGGAGGCCTGCTTTATGTATTTGAAGCTGGGTTATAGATGAGGCAGAGAGCTAAGGGGCTAGAGTTTGGCTATCATGGTGGGCATCAGGGACATACGGCACTCATTGAGCTCTGTTTCTTGCTTGCATTTGTACTCTGGATAAAGACTTTGTATCACTAGATACCTAGGAGTTAAGATGCTTCATTGGTCTGTATAGAAATCTTTCGCTTCTGTTTCTTCCCTGTGAGAGAACAGTGCCTCCATTTAATAGATTAGTATTAAGCTGCCCCATGTCCTGCATTTCCTAAGGGAACAGAGCCGGGGTTTAAATCCAGGATTGACAGACACCAAAGCCAAGATTTCCCCGTTCAGGTCCTGTTCTGGAGGGCTGCCCCTCCAATTCTGGCCACTGTACAGTTTGGCTTGAAGTTTGGCTCAAGACAGATGGAGCCAATTTCCAGCTGAAAGGGGAATCCTTTTTTGTCATTCATGGGGCTTGAACTCGGGGCCTGGGCGCTGTCTCTGAGCTCTTCTGCTCAAGGCTAGTGCTCTACCACTCTGAGCCCCAGTACTACTTCTGGTTTTCTGGTGGGTAATCACTGAGCTGACTTTGATCTCAGCCTTCTGAGTAGGTAGGATTACAGACATGTGCCACCAGTGACCAGCTTCATCCTTGCCTTGTATTTATCCATTTAGGTTGGTCATGGAGCTTGAACTCAGGGCCTGGGTGCTGTCTCTAAGCTTTTGCACTCAAGGCTAGCACTCTACCACTACAGCCACATTTCTACTTCCAGTTTTCTAGTACTTAATTGGAGATAAGAGGCTCATGGAGTTTCCTGCTTTGAGCTATGATCCTCAGATCTCAGCCTCCTAAGATAGGATTACAGGCATGAGCCATCAGTGCCCAGCTCTTGCTTTTTAAACTAAAATGAAAACCACATTTCTTCTTTTATCCCATCTTCCCTCATGCTTACCTGTCATTACTGCTGTTGTTCAACAGGGTTGATGACGTTGTAAAGAGAGTCTTGTCTTTGGAAATGGCCAGCAAGGTGAGTTTGTACCTATGTCAGACCCTCTCTCCTGGGACTTCTCCCACCATGATGAGCACCCTGTCTTCCATGCTTCTCCAATCACAACATTTACCCCCAGTGTTATTTTGTGAATACTTGTCAGTACTCCTAGACCGAGCCCATAGAAGCAGAGATAGTTTTGCTCCCTGATTATACCCTAAAATCTGATAAGCATTAGATGGTGCTTAAATAAAGAAGTGTGCATGAATGAGTAAACTTTGGAGACATTCATCCAACAAATATCTATTATTGGTGGCCTTTGTCTCAGGCTCACCTATATGTGAGTAGCCATGTGGCTGACCAAAACCATGGTAAGCACTGTAAAGTCCCAGTCCTATGCAGTAATTGCACCCATGGCCTTTTGAACAAGAAGTTTAGTACTTAGGGGGTGGCAGATCATACAGATACTCTTGATCTTTCTCTTCAACAGAAAGAGAAGCTAAAAGTCAAGCAAGAACAGTTGATGAACAAGATCATGGCGAACCTTGAGGATACCAGATCCCTAGAGGCTCGAAGTTAGTCAAGGGAGTCGTGGGGATATGGGGAGACATTTGCTCAATGGTACCTGGTCAAGGGCTATTGCCTAAATGTGGTTCAGGAAAGGGAGAGACATGAAGGACCTGGATTCCAGATCCTAGGAGCCGCTGCTGTCTAATCTGCAAAAGGAGAGATCAGAGGCATGACAGAGGTACTGTGACTTCATGGCAGATAGTGAGAAGCTTGAGGGTGTAAATACACCTTGAAAACTAAAGATCATGGTCTATGATAATAACAGTAAGACTGTTAACATCTAGAAAAACTTCTATGCCAGACAGACATACAGACATGTGGAGCATTCCCAAGGCATAAGTTTTTTCTTTGGTTTCAAGCTGGAACCAGAAGTAGTCTTTACTATTAATAGAAACCCCACCACCTGCCCCTTGCTTTGGGTGCAGTTTATCTTCACTGACTCAGAACAGTGGAAGTAGCTATCACATATTACCATGAGCTGAAAGCATGATGCACCTATGTGGGCTTATTTCTTCCCCCTGCCATTATAACCTCTGTCTCCTGCTTCCCCCTCTGTCAGAGTTCTTAGTAACTACTGACTGCATTGGAGAGGCCATGCTTCTTTTCTCTTTTTTGAGCCAGCAGCTATAGTATGGTAGTCTAATTCCTCAATGTAATGAAAATGCATTGAAGTTTTACCATTAAGAATGATACCTCCTCTGGGCTGGGAAGGTGGCTCAGTGGTAGAGCGCTTGCCTTGCATGCTCAAGGCCCTGGGTTCGATTCCTCAGCACCACATAAGCAAAAAGAAAAAAGCCGGAAGTGGCGCTGTGGCTCAGTGGTAGAGCGCTAGCCTTGAGCTGAAGAGCTGAGGGACAGCACCCAGACCCAGAGTTCAGGCCCCACAACCGGACCCCCCCCAAAAAAAGAAGAATGATACCTCCTATAATCCTAGCTACTCAGGAGGCTCAGGATCACAGTTCAAAGCAGCCCGGGCAGGAAAGTCCATGAGACTCTTCATCTCTAATTAAACACCCAAAAGCCAGACATGGAGCTGTGGTTCAAGTGGTAGAACATTAGCCTTGAGCAAAAAAGCTCAGGGAGGGCTAGGAAGGTGGCTCAGTGGTAGAGCGCTTGCCTTGCATGCTCAAGGCCCTGGGTTCGATTCCTCAGCACCACATAAGCAAAAAGAAAAAAGCCGGAAATGGCACTGTGGCTCAAGTGGTAGAGCGCTAGCCTTGAGCTGAAGAGCTGAAGGACAGCGCCCAGGCCCAGAGTTCAGGCCCCACGACCAGACCCAAAAAAAAAAAAGCTCAGGGACAGTACCCAGGTCCTGAGTTCAAACCCTGGGACCAGCACCAAAAACAAAAACAACAAAATGCTATTTGCTTTGAATGTTTTTTTAGATAACTTTATTTAAAATCAAGAAATTTCCCTTAGACTTTGATTTCTAAAACAAAGATAATCCAGTCTTTTGAGATCTTGAAATACAAGGTGCTTTGTGATTTATAGAGAGGTATGTAAGAATGTTGATGATTGTGTTTTCTTTAAATTCTTTAAAACATAATGCAGGCCTGGGCCCTTCCTTCCTCTCTGCCCAGCTCTCATCCTCTGTGGTTTGTGGTTTCAGTTGTTTCCTTGACCGTCAAGATCCGCAGTTTGGAAGAACATATGCAGAAACACCAAAAGGTAAACCCTGGGTATCACTCATAGCTACATAGTAGCAGTCTAAGGCAGATAAGTTAGAAATGGGTCTCTGGGTCCTAAGAAGCCAGTACCCGCCCTTCAACTGCATTGGAGAAAAACATTGCCCTCCCACCTCTACAGGAGCCATAGGAGCCTGCCAGGGCTCTGCTGATTGTCACCAGTGATTAAGAACACAAAGTTCAGAGCATGGTCACCATCTCTGATACATATTGGGTGCTTCATAAATGTTTATCGACTGCATAAATGGAATCAGGTTGCCCTATTCAAAACCCAGCTCTGCCTTCAACTTAACAAGCTATGTGACTTTGGGGAAGTTATAGGCCTAAGTCTTGGTTCTTTGAACTGTAAGGTGTGGATCATAAGAGAACCTGCCCACAGAATTTCAAGACTTACACGGAATAATAAAAGCCCATAACCCAATGCATAGACAGTCTTTAGACCCATGCTGAATGCTTTACACCAACCATCGCTTTACATGTACCATCGCTTTACATGTACCATCGCTTTACATGCACCATCTCATGTAACCCTATTTCTTCAAGAGGACCAGTCTAGTTGTGCAGTGATGAAGTTACTTCTCAACCTGCTGCTAGAAGTGATGGCTAAGACTTGAAATGAGGCAATCTTGCCACAGGACCCATATTCTTTTTCCTTTTTTGGTACTGGGAATGGACCTAGGGCCTTTTTGTTGTTGTTGTTGTTAATCAACTTTTACACTCGCAGCTCCATAATACCAATATTCTTAACCATTATGCCACATCTGCCCAGAACATTTGGCACAGAGATACAGCTCCACTTCAGGCTTTTTCTGTTTATGTGATACTGAGGAATCAAACCCAGGGCTTTATGCATGTCAGGCAAGCATTCTACCACTGAGCCACATTCCCAGCCCTTGTGGTTTTATATGCATAAATATACATGGTAATGAATACAGACTGATTCGATACCATGCCTGGTACACCTCCCCTAAAATGGTCAGTCATGTACCTTGGAGATCACAGTTTTGTTTATTTGGATATGGAACCACAGCCTCAATATAGAGGTCCCTCATAGAGCAGCATCTAGCACAGACCCCCACTCCACCCACCTCACCCCCAACTGACAGTTTGCTAAGCTGTGGGTAGGATAGGGAAAGACAACTAGACTTGGCGTCAGGTAAGAGACCCAATTTCAAGACCCATCTCAGCACCCTCAGTTCTATGGAGCATTTGTGACTCGGATGATATCTTTGAACCTTTATTTTCCCATCTGTAAAATGTAAAGAATGACAATAGCACTTTCAGATTTACACAAATTTTCATAAAGTTTCAATGAAATTAAAAGACTAAACATGCTTTTTTCTGTAAACAGCAGCAGTACTCATTTATAGAATATTAAAATACAGACTATTAAAATACAGGACAAAGCCCAAAAGCGCCATCTCCTCATGAGCACTGCCAAGAGGAGAAAAATGCTCAAAAATCTCCGTAAGATCAACTATGATGTCTTTGAGAAGATATGCAAGGAGCTGGGAATTGAATATACCATTACCCCTCTGTACTGCCGAAAAGCCCATCGCCGCCTCTTGATCAAAAAGGCTCTGTGCCTTAGGGTATGAGACTGCATGGGTGCTTTGGTCAGCCTCACTGTAGGCTGGGGGGGGGGGGGTTTGAAGGAAGAGACATCTGATTCTGACAGATGCCTGGAACTAACACTAGAGAGGTCACAGGCCACTGACCCCTTGAAAATGGGCTTGGGGGAGATAAGCTTCCACCAACCTGCTCTAATAAGGTTTCCCCTTTCAACCTCCAGGTCTTTCAGGAGAAGCAAAAGCTTAAGAAGCAAAAAAAGGCCTTGAAAGCTGCAGCAGCAGCCCAAAAACAAGAAAAACAGGGAATCCTAGAGAGCCCTTCCAAAACCTGACCAGAGACATGCAGAGAAAACCAATAAAGTCTGTTTCAATTACTTGTGTCTGCCTTGCAGAGTGATAGGAGAATCAATGGTGTTCTTTTTGGGTTGAGAGAAGGGGAGGAATTGATTCATTCAGCCCAGGGATCTCAGAATTGTCTGGAACACAAAGTCTGCCCTTATCCCACCAAATAGTCACTCATACTCTACCACCTGCCATCCAGATGGCATGTGTTTCAGTGGAGGCAAGGCTGAGTACCACAACGTGGTGGAAGTGTGGCTGCTTGGTAGAAAGACCAGCTGTACGAGCCGCCTTCTAATGAATAGAAATTCACTGGAAAAAGGAAGGGGCAGCATCTAGGAAGAAGGAATTGCACGTACAAAGGCAAAGAAATCTAGAGGCACATGCTATATTCAGGGAGAAGTAGAAATTTGAAGCTGTAGTGGGTGTGCAGTACTTTATATGCTAGGCTGAAGAGTTTGCACACTGGTCTATAGGGAAAGGAGAGATGGTTGAAAGTTTTAACAGCCAGGCGCCAGTGGCTCATGCCTGTAATCCTAGCTACACAGGAGGCTGAGATCTGAGGATGGATTTTCAAAGCCAGACCAGGCAGGAAAATCTGTGAGACTTTATCTCCAGTAAACCACCAGAAAACCAGAAGTAGCACAGTGGCTCGAGTGATAGAGCGCTCACCTTGAGCTGAAGAGCTGAGGACAGCACCCAGGCCGAATTCAAAAAAAAAGTTTTTAACACCATAGTAGGGCTAAAAGCTTGTCTATTTAGATGGTTAAGCAGAGGCCATGTTGAGGGGAACTGGGAGCAATGATCAAAATAATTTTTTTGGAGGTAAGGGTGTTCATTGTTTAAAATAAGTAGCAGGTACATGTGGCGTACTAGCTGCTCAGGAGGCTTAGCTCAGATTCGTGGATTTGAAGCCAGCCCAGACAGACAAATACAAATCTGAGACCCTTGCCTCCAATAAACAAGCAAAAAGCCAGAAGTGGAGGCATGGCTCATAGCAAAAAAAGTTGAGCAAGAGTGCCAAGCCCTAAGTTCAATCAAAGTCCAAGTCCTATCCCTGTAAAAATACATAAGGAGGGATGGTAGGGGGGAAACAATGGAGGGGGTAACAATGCTCAATAGGAAGTGTATTCATTACCTTACTCATGTAACTGTAACCCTCTGTATAGTATCTCTACAATAAAAAATATTAAAAAATAGAAAATACATAAGGACTGCTTATAAGTTCTAGGGGTACAGATACTCCCTATAAAACCCACCTAAGCATACTAGATATGTCTGAAGAATCCATGGAAGACACCTGTCTAAAACTAAGCAAGCAAAATGAAGAGCAGGAAGAGAAGGCCAGAATGATAGGCAGACAACCTGGTGACACACAGCCTTCTAGTTATGTACTGCTCAAGCAGCAGTAGCAACAAACTAAACTGAGTTTCAGACATGACTCAGAGGGCTTGCTCAGCATGTATAAGGCTCTGGGTTCCATCCTCAGCAGCGCTAAAGAGAAATTTTTTATCTCCATTCTAGAAGCTATGAAGTCCAAGATGAACATCAATTCAGTTTCCAGAGAGGGCTCTCTTCCTAGCAAAGGCCATCTTATATGTCTTTCACATGGAGTATGGATTTGCTGAGGCACTGCTTCAAGTACATTTTGCTTATGGGAAATATATAGCACATGGGCCATATGAAGCCATGAAACCATTTGCCTGGCCCTGCAAGGCAACCTCAGGTGGGACTCAACATTCAATAGATAAGAAGCAACATAAATTTATATTAAGTGTATGCCAGGCATCAGTGGTCCATGCCTGTAGCCCTAGCTACTTAGGCTGAAATCAGAGGATCACAGTTCAAAGCCAGCCAACCCAAGCAAGAAAATCTGTGAAACTCTTCTCCAAAAAAGCCTGAAGTGAAGCTGTGATTCAAGTGATAAAGCAACTAGCCTTGAGGAAAAAAAGCCCAGGGACAGTGCTCAGGTCCTGAGTTCAAGCTCCAGGACTGGCAAAAAAAAAAAAAAAAAACAAGTGAATCATACATATGCTTCCCTTGGATTGCCCATAGCCCATCTGCCTGCATTGTGGTGACTCAGAGGACAGTCACTGCTAGGCAGGCTGGGAGTGTACAAGTTGCAAAAGTATTAACTGCAAAAGTATTAACTGGTGATGATAATATGCAATGAAGTTAATGATTTCTCACAAAATTGATGAGCTTGCCACTGAATACTGACAGCAATGCCATCAACTTGTCAACACAGATAACTCCAAGCTTTAGCCACACATTCACTGAATGAAGATTAAGAAAATTACAGTACACAGAAAAGACCTCAAGATCCAAAGACATAAACAATTATATGTTCCAATTCCAAGATGCAGAATTAGAACTACAAGCAAAGGAAAATGATGATGTCACTGGTGACACACATACTGGATAGTTAGTGAAATTTAAGGTTACAACATTCTATGAATGGTCAACTACAAAGAAAAGGTGATGTAGAATGTCAGCTTTTCTTTTCTTTTTTTTTTTCTGGGGGGGGGGGGGGGGTCCGGTCGTGGGGCCTGAACTCTGGGCCTGGGCGCTGTCCCTCAGCTCTTCAGCTCAAGGCTAGCGCAGCACCACTTCCGGCTTTTTTTCTTTTTGCTTATGTGGTGCTGAGGAATCAAATCCAGGGTCTCAGGCATGCAAGGCAAGCACTCTACCACTGAGCCACCTTCCCAGCCCATCAGCTTTTCAAGAGAAATGGACAAGTGAACTTTTTGGGGGTTAATATTTAAGTCAAGCCTCTGTGCCTCATTTGTGGCTAGGTGTTAGCAGCCAACAACAACAACAACAAAAGCTAATCTGGAGTATCATTACAACTCAAAACATACTGAACTCAGTGAATTGGAAGGCCAGATAGATAAAAATCAATGTTCTTTTGCAAAGTTTGTTATCACAACAAGCAGACTAAAGTGCCTGATAACCTACAACTTGACATCATTCACTTCAGTGCTATCATAAGCTGAAAGCTAGGTACAACTTCTCACTGCTATTTCTCTGTAAATGTTACATATGCAATGATGAAATTCTCACTTTGAGGGGACATGCATCTGTACTCCCAAACAACTTATGGCCGCAAGCAGTTCTTTTCAAAACTCACTATCAAAAAGTCAACTATGTTCCAGAATGACCAACAGAAAACTAAACAAGCAGTTGAGTGTATCAACATCAATGCACAGCTAACAGCACATTCCTCACCAAAAAGCAATTCGGTTAATATTTGACCAAATATAGCAGCCTTTTTTTTTTTTGTCAGTCATGGGTCTTGAACTCTGGGCTTGGGCACTGTCCCTCAACTCTTCAGCTCAAGGCTAGTGCTATACCACTTGAGCCACTGTGCCACTTCCAGTTTTCTGAGTGGTTAATTGGATATAAGAGTCTCACGGACTTTCCGGCAGGGCTGGCTTTGAACCCTGATCCTCAGATCTCAGCCTCCGGAATAGCTAGGTTTACAGGCGAGAGCCACGGGCACCCATCTAGCATCCTAATTTTTAAGTGACTAATTTAGCATGGCCCAAGAATGATGTTTGATATGGAAAAGACGCTTGGCAGAAAAAAGATTTCCCACCTCTGCTTTAAGAAGATGCGAAAGATTAAAGGACACTCCTTCATTACCCTATTTAACTGAATGGTTGCTTGTCGTTTACAGAATGCTTTCTCAATCTGATAAATCAGAGCAACCCTGTGAGGTAGCCGTTGCTTCATTTCACAGAGAAGTGGCCCAGGTTCACAAACCTGCCCAAGGTCACAGCCAGGGACGGGAAGTGGGGTCTGTCTGACCCGAGCTGGCTCCCCAGTTTCGCTGGGGCTTCCTCGCTCACAAGCTAGAGGGCCAGGCGGATGAGAGGCTTCCGTGCCAGAGCCAGGGCTGGCTGGGGCTGGCTGTGCCCACAAATCCACCTGTAGACCTTACCCAGGTGGCTGGTTCAACCTCCCAGGATCGGCAAAGCTGCAGAACTCAAAACCCTTCCACGTCTGCAGCGGACCAATCCCCGGAGGCTAGCTCTTCCAAATAGCCCAATAAGCATCGGGCATTGCCCTAGCAACCGAGCATGGGACGCGGTGGGGCCTCCAGGCCACAGGCTTCGGAGTCCTAGGGCGCTTTACCTGTCCTGCTGGCTCCCAGCACCATGTCGGTGAGGACGTTACCGCTGCTCTTCTTGAACCTGGGCGGGGAGATGCTTTACGTCCTGGACCAGCGCCTGCGGGCCCAGAACATCCCGGGAGACAAGGCCCGCAAGGGTAAGAGAGGTCTGGTCCTCACAGCCAGACCTGCACCCTTCAGTCCCACCCTCACCTCCCTAACACCCTTCGCCAGACCCTCCCCCTCACAGCCCGGTCCTCGCTCCTCCATTCACACTTACAGACAGACCCTTTACCACCACCCCTCACGGCTGCGGGTGAAACACCCAACAGCCACAACAACCCCTCTGCATTTCACTCATAGCCAGAGGGCCTTTCTCGCAAGATGCAGTGCCCGTGCAGTTGAAGAACCTCCAGAGTCAATTTTTCCCCAAAAGGCCCTTTCCCAGCAGAAACACTTAACACCCCATTGGCTAGAGAATCTGATCGCTCAATTTCCCCATCTCTTTAAATGGAAGAGATTATTTCCCAATCTCTCTTGAAAATCAGTCCCTTCCAAAAGTGGGATCCCAGCCGCATACCACCCAGCAACATACCCTTTGCTAGTCCAAGCATCCTTTACCCACGTGAAACAGCTTCTGATTCTCCATTCCTGTACCATAATATCCTCCTACACAAGCTGGAGACAATTCTTTCTCATTTCAGAAGTTGTTTCTAGAACAGGTTCTGAAATAATACCGATAAGTTAAAACAAAAATAAAAACCTTGTCTTTCGTTTTACAAGTGTTGGAAGGGAATTGTGAAACTATTATAGGAGAGTAAAATCTGGTTCCCATGCACAGCATATGCAAGCCACACAAAATAACCACTTAAAACACCACCACTCTTTTCCTTCCTTCTCAGCAAATAACTGCTTTTGCCAAATTACCTGGGTCTAAATATGAAGGAAATACTGTATTTTAAAGATAGAGGAAGAAAAGTTGATATAAAGGCAATTTACATGGCCACTATTTGTTCCCTCCAACAGTCTCTGTATGTGCAATCAATGTTAAGCATATATATTATTAACTGTTGTGCCTATGTGATCGTGTCCAAGTTCATGCTAAAGAGATGAGAATTACCTATAAAACAGAAAGAATGGGCCATTTGTTCTACCCATAGCTGCCAGCAGGCTTTCTAAGATGCAGATCTGTCCATACGCCCCTTGGTTAAGACCCTTTGTTAGTGTCCTATGTGCAGGTCATTTTGAGACCTTTCCCAGTACTATCTTTTACCAGTACCTGTCTCCCACTTTGCTATCCTAATAATACCAAACTGCTTGTAGATCTTTAAACCATGTCCTTCATATCTCCATGTTTATAAGTGCCATTCCTCCATTCTTTCCCTACCACTTGGATATTTAGCTCAAGAGGTCTCCCCCTGAGTAAAGGCCTGCCTGTATTCTTATAGCACCTGAGTTCTTGAAACTTCTATGCTTCTCTTTACCTTATCATTTGGCCATGTTGTACTGAAACAATCCCCCCCACACTTTATTATTTTATTCACCTTCATGCTCTAGCTCCTCACTGGAAAACAAAGTAAATGAGTACTCCATAAATTTTTATTGACTTGATCATCTAAATTGGCAGATTTCTTTCTTTCTCTTTCTTTCTTTTTGGGGTCCGGTTGTGGGGCCTGAACTCTGGGCCTGGGCGCTGTCCCTCAGCTCTTCAGCTCAAGGCTAGCGCTCTACCACTTGAGCCACAGCGCCACTTCCGGCTTTTTTCTTTTTTTGCTTATGTGGTGCTGAGGAATCGTACCCATGCATGCAAGGCAAGCGCTCTGCCACTGAGCCACCTTCCCAGCTCCTAAATTGGCAGATTTCTATGGTGTCATTATTTCTTCCTCCAGAAGGTTCTGTTTTCCTTGGTGTCTGTATGATCTGATTCCATTCAGGCTAATGGTGGTGTGACAGGCTAGAGCTCTCTGCTTGTAGTCTGTATCTTGGGAGATAGTATAAACTAGTGATTAAGAGTATACTCTCTCTGGTCATACAGATCTGGGTCCCAATGCAAGTTGTGCTACTAAACTAGTTCTACGACCTTAAGGTGTAATGTCTATGTGTATGTCTGTCCATAGAATGGTACTAATAACATGTACCTAAAAGCAAAGTTTGTAAGGTTTGAACGAGCAATGCATTTAACATGCTTAACACAATGAGTGACAGGTGTTTGGCTTTCAAAAAGACATCTAGCCAGGCACTGGTGGCTCATACCCATAATCCTAACTACTCAAGAGGCTAAGATCTGAGGATCACAGTTCAAAGCCAGCCCAGGCAGGAAAGTCCATGAGACTATTATCTCCACTAAACTACTCAGAAGAAGCCAGAAGTGGTGCTGTGGCTCAAGTGGTAAAGCCCTAGCCTTAAGCACAAAGAGTCTCAGGGACAGCACCCAGGCCCTGAGTTCAAACCCCAGGACTGGCAAAAACAAAAAACTTTCTAAACAACTTAAGAAAAGCTACAGCCTTTCTGGTTTTGCTGTGCTCTGTTTTTGAGAGTTCCTGACATATTTAGTAACTCGTGTTTACACGTTCATTCCACAGCTTTTGTCTGAGGTCATACCATATGAGAAGCTGGGTGGAAATTGATCCCTCTGTGCATTCATTCACAGTAGGGTTACTGATCAGACCAGTCTAGTAACTGATTCTAATAGGACCTATCTTCCTACTGACAATAATAACTTTAAAATGAAGCACTTGCCATATATGAAAGACACTTTGATGCCCACAACTATTCTACTACATAGGTAATATTCTCTGACCCCATTTTTCACATGGAAGGAGGAAAAGGAGAGGATCTGAAAGACCTAGGGCATCAGGCTGCCAAACTCATCCTCCTAACCAGTTGCTGGCCCATGCTCTCATCCTGCGAGTGGGGACAATATCAGAAACTTTGTGGGGCTTTATAAGATCAGGAGAAGAGGGAGGACTTTGGGGGAAAAAAAAGTATTATACCCACTAACCTTATAACAAAAATAGTAAAAAGTAGTTAGTTCATAGGGAGTTCAAGATAAAGCAAGATAGAACACGTAGGATTACAAAAGCTGAGAACCCCTTGACTGTTCCACTGTTTTAAAGTTAGTATGTATGCGGGAGAGGGAGCCAGAGCCACTATGACAGAATACCAGACATTGTAAACTAGTCGTTATGGAAGCTTTGAATGAAAACAGTATATCTTCTAGACCTTTGCATTCTCTTACATGACTAATTGGTCTCCAGGAGGCCATCCCTGTTCCCACAGGGCATACAGATGTTGCAGTCCTTGCCCCCATCCTCCTCCCCCCCTCCCCACACACACACACACAAAATTCAGCTTCAGTTTAACCTTTAACAGAAAGGAAGTGAGCTCTTTATGGGGTAACTTTTGTGAGCATTGCATATTGAATGCTGTCCCACATTTTAAGCAATAGCAAGACAGCTACCTTTGCCTCACTCTTTTTTTTTTTTTTTGGTCCGGTTGTGGGGCTTGAACTCTGGGCCTGGGCGCTGTCCATCAGCTCTTCAGCTCAAGGCTAGTGCTCTACCACTTGAGCCACAGTGCCACTTCTGGCTTTTTTCTTTTTGCTTATGTGGTGCTGAGGAATCGAACCCAAGGCCTCAGGCATGCAAGGCAAGCGCTCTACCACTGAGCCACCTTCCCAGCCCCGTCTCACTCCTGTACTCTTAAAAGCACTCACAAATTAGACCCTGTTACCTTTTGCTTATATTCCTCATTTTATAGAAGAGGAAAGTGGGGCCATGAAGTGATTTTTTTTAAGACTTGCACATTACAATGCCACAGCGAGCAAAAAATAGTTTTACTCTGGATAGCCTTGTGCCTGCCTCCCACTTAAAATATAAAGAGGAATTGTCACAAAGTCATCTGGAGAATTAGAAACCAGTGCAGTGACTTGCCTTCCTCTTCAGAAGGAAAGGGGTAGGTGCCCACAGCACTCCAGGGCCCCCTGCTGGTAGGGAGGCTCCTTGATATATGGAGTGCCTGATACTCCCCACTTAAACTTGCAAGTTTCATTCAATGCACAGTAAACTCACTGTCAGAGAGAAGATAAACTCCTTGCTGCATCACTCTTCCCTTATCAGATTATCCCAAGCCTATCACACTAGACCATCTGGGTTATAAAGGCCATAGAAAGATTGACGACATGGACATTATGGCCAAGAAACCAACATGTGCTTTAAGGCCAGACCTGGTGCTGCTTTCCCATTACCTTCTCTCCAAAACTCTGTGGCTCTTGCAAGGATAAGTTAGTAACTTCTCAGAGGTGTCTGACCTTGTAGTAGGGACTCTGCATAGCCCAGTGAGGGTATGACCTATGTGTACCTGCTGGATTGGTAGGAGCTGTTCACATTGTGTACTGAAGTACACATGGCAGTAAAGTTGTTCTTTTTTTTTTTTTTTTTTTTTCTGGTTGTGGGCCTGGGCGCTTTCCCTGCGCTCTTCAGCTCAAGACTAGTGCTCTACCTCTTGAGCCACAATACCACTTCCAGTTTTCTAGTGGTTTATTGGAGATGAGTCTCATGGACTTTCCTTCCCAGGTTGGCTTTGAACCGTGATCCTCAGATCTCAGCCTCCTGAGTAGCTAGGATTATAGGCGTGAGCTACCGGTGCCCAGCTTACGGTTGTTCTTATTTTTCTAGTTCTGATTTAACAGCCAGCCCTGGGTAGCCTTGGGCCTGCCCCCACTCAAAAATAGAACTAAAATTAAAATTGTCATCTAAAAAATAGAAAAACAGTGCTGAATGTAAATGTGTATAGAACTCTTTATCTGAAGGTGATTATCTAGATTGAAATATCCTCCAAAAATTTAAGAAAAGGAAAAAGACTTTTTCATTCTTTTGGGTGGTTTTCAGTCCTTCAGTAGAGAAAATGGAACCAGAAAAAATCCAGCTAAATGTTTTGTGTATGTTGTCCATTTATCTCCCCAACAACCCTATAAGGTATATGCTATTATTATCCTAATAATAGGAAACTTAAATTAAACAAGCTGTTTGAATTTTACACAGCTGTTTAGTGGTAGAGCCAGGTCTCAACCAATAAAGAATCCTCATAGATTCTCATATCCAAGTGCATTTTTCCTGATCTGGTCTCCTCTTGGCATCTCTCTACCTGCCTTAATCCTTGGAAGCTTTCTTTGAAGTGGTCCTACCATTTGTGCTTTTACATTGAAGTCGTGCATCTAATGAAAAAGTAGATCTGAAGAGCAGGGAGGGCCCTGGTGGGTCACATCTGGAATCAGAGGGTGAGATCTAAAGATCAGTGTTTATAGCCAGCCCCGACAGAAAAGTCTGCAAGACTAATTCTCCAATTAACCAGCAAAAATGACAGACTTGAGGCATGGCTCAAGTAGTAGAATACCTGCATGAATGAAAAAGCAGGTGAAAACATGAGGTCATATTCATATATATATATATATATATATATATGAATGTATATATGTGTATATATATATATTTTTTTTATTTTTATTTTTTTTAAGTACAACAGAGGCCTGGGAAGGTGGCTCAGCAGTAGAGTGCTTGCCTTGCATGCATGAGGCCCTGGGTTCGATTCTTCAGCACTACATAAACAGAAAAGGCCAGGAGTGGCACTGTGGCTCAAGTGGTAGAGCATTAACCTTGAGCTGAAGAGCTCAGGGACAGCACCCAGGCCTAGAGTTCAAGCTCCACGAGTGACCAAAAAAAAAAAAAGTACAATAAAAACAAATATTGACATAATTTTCTGTTGATTCACATTTCAAGTTTTCTGATTTGAACATGTCAAACTATATTTCTAGCAAGGAAAAGCATATATTAAGAAAAATTTCAGATTAAAAGATGGGGATTATTCTTCCTTGGAATTGTGTTGTTAAAAGCCTTTGAATGATGTGTGTTTGTTTTTTGGTGCTGGTCCTGGGGCTTGAACTCTGGGCCTGGGTGCTGTCCTTGAGCTTTCATGGTCAAGGCTAACACTCCACCACTTCAGCCAAGCTCCACTCCCAGATTTTTTGGTGGTTAACTGGAGATAAGAGTTTCACAGGTTTTCCTACCTGGACTGGCTTTGAACCATGATCCTTAGATCTCAACTCCCCAAGTAGCTAGGATTAAAATCATGAGTCACTGGCTCCCAGTATGATGAGTGTTCTTGTAGTATTGGAAGCATGACTTCTAGAACTTTCCATGATGAACCCCAAGTTAGCTAAACTACTCTACTGAGACCTAGTCCTTTTTTTCATCTTTAAATAGTTGTACAAGCAAGGCATGGTGACTCATGCCTGTAATCCTAGCTACTCAGGAGGCTGAGATTCAAGGATCATGGTTCAAAGCCAGCCCAAGCAGAAAGTCCATGAGACTCTTACCTCCAATTAACCACCAGAAAACCAGAAGTGGTGCTGTGGCTCAAGTGGTAGAGTGCTTGCCTTGAGCTGAAGAACTGAGGGAGAGTTCCCAGGCCTATAGTTCAAGCCCTACAAGGCCAAAAAAAAAAAAAAATAAAGTTGTACACAGTGTTGCTAATAACAACACTTCATAATTACAATGCATCTTGGTGATGTCACCCCTTGCAGCATTCTCACCTGTCCCTCTCAAGACATAGTCTTTTTTGGAACTTACTATTTATCCAGTTTTTTGTTGTTGTTGTTTTGCTGGCCATGGGGCCTGAACTCTAGGCCTGGGCACTGTCCCTCAGCTCTTCACCTCAAGGCTAGCACTCTACCACTTGAGCCACAGCGCCACTTCCGGCTTTTTCTGCTTATGTAGTGCTAAGGAATCAAACCCAGGGCCTCATGCATGCAAGGCAAGCACTCTACCACTGAGCCACCTTCCCAGCCCTATTTATCCAGTTTTTAAAACATACTTCTTTAAAGTTTCAAATGTTTTCACCTGTGACATTAAAGCCAGGTGCTGGTGGCTCATGCCTGTAGTCCTAGCTACTCAGGAGGCTGAGATCTGAGGATCACAGTTCAAAGCCAGCACGGGCAGAAAAATCTATGAGTCTCTGATCTCCAATAAAGCACTAGAAAACTGAAGTGGTACTGTAGCTCAAGAGGTAGAGTACAAGCCGGGCACTGGTGGCTCACGCCTGTAATCCTAGCTACTCAGGAGGCTGAGATCTGAGGATCGAGGTTCAAAGCCAGCCCAGGCAGGAAAGACCGTGAGACTCCTATCTCCAATAAACCACCAGAAAACCGGAAGTGGCGCTGTAGCTCAAGTGGTAGAGCGCTTGCCTTGAGCTGAAGAGCTGAGGGACAGCGCCCAGGCCTAGAGTTCAAGCCCCATGACCAACAAAAAAAAAAAAAAAGAGGTAGAGTACTTACCTTGAGCTGAAGAGCGCAGGGACAGCGCCCAGGCCTAGAGTTCAAGCCCCATGACCGACAAAAATAAATAAATAAATTACAAGCATGAAAAAATAAAGTTTCATAAGCCAAATAATTAAAATTAGTATTTGTAAAGCCTCCATGAAAATAATGTATTCTTGCTTCATGAACTGATATTTTCTTTTTATGTGCTTCATGTAGATGAATGGACAGAGGTGGACAGAAAACGAGGTATGCTATCTCTAGACTGCATGTATTCAGTCTGCATCCACAAGTAGTTCACCTAGTCCATTATCAGTGGGGCTTAAAGTAGGACCAATCTAAGTATTTCTAAGTAGGAATACAGGCATGAGTTCTTCTTTGGTGAGACATTAGGAAAACATGTGGATCTTTTACTTCAAAGAGATAACTCATTATATTAAGGTAAAACAAACTTTAACGACAGGGCCACATTGCATCTAAGGAAGCTTTCTGTCTTTCCAATTCCAAGCCTGGCAGGGACGACTAAGGCAGTAGCTCCACTCCTAGGCAGGTTGTCCTATCTGGGACTCCTAAAACTGCCAAAGAATTGTGTGTGCCAAAGAACTGCTTCAACATCAGTGACCCTTATACACACACAAGCCCTTCACCTTAGCACAGAGACACCTATTGAACAATGGAGAATAATGGAAGCATGTGGTTGCATGGCTGCCAGGATTGTGGGCAGAAAGCATGAGATCTTGCATGCAGGATGGCCTAATCTTGATAAGTGTTCAGTTTACCTCTCACTACAAGTAGCAACAAACCTGAAAAGATTATTGACTTCCCAGGGAAAAAAACACCTTTGCTTTTCTGTCTTTATATATCTCACATTCACCTTCCATCATTTGACACTTGGGTGTTGCTTGCGCCTATCATCAATTGTCCTCCATATTTTAAATGCTCTCATCACACCAGATATGCTGGAGAAGTGACATATATAACACCTAACAGCACATACATCAGAATGAAACAAACCCTATTTCAAATCTACCACCTGTGTGACCTTGGATTTAAAACTTTCTAAAAGTCCATTTTCTTCCTTGATAGAATTGAAGGTAACCATTTCAACTTGGCATTTAAATAAGATAATGTGAAAGTTCTGAGCCCATAACCTGGAATATGGGCAAGATTTAAAACATGATTGACTATCCAGTAAGATTTCCTAGCTTCTATGTCTTAACCTTGGCTCCAGATTGCATGTTACCATAAACAAGTGATTTTAGAACAAAGGTAATTGGTAAAAATTGGATTGCTTTCATCATTATTTTATCAGATTAGCTCAAAGAGAAGCCCAACTAAAGTGCTTGATACTTGTATTATATATTTCACAACCATCTGTTGACACTTCTCTTGAGCAATTTTTGGCCCATCCCAAAATTTCAAGTGGCAGAATTTCAGGTGTGAAGTATAACTCTTGCAAGGCATGCACTGTACCGCTGAGCTACCTTCCCAGCCCCTAAAGTATAACTCTTGAACTTTCATATACACAATTGAATCACTGAAGTTTAACTTAAGTTTAATGTAAGTCTGTTAATGTTGAGAGCCCAGCAATAGCAACCTTTCTGAGCTATCTGTGAAAAAATCCCTTTCCTCCTCAAGCTTAGCCTCTTCCTGATGAAATCTGGCTCAGGAAAAGGATGCAAAGCTCCTCTGAGTGCCAAAAACTAACCATAAGGCAGACAAATGATCTGACTAAGATCCTTAAACTAATCAGGTGTAAATGTGACATAGGCTACCTCTCTGAGACAACAATATGTCATCTCCTTCCTCTGTGTGCCTACGGTGTTTACCTCAGTATCTGGTACACAGCAAGCCTGTCTCAGCCAAGCACTAGGTGAACCAATGGTGAGAGGAAAATGCATTTACCTGAGTCTTCACACTGTCTGAACAATTAAATGTGAGGTAGGATCCCTAGGTTCTGTGGCCCAAGTATAAAACTTGCATTTTCTCTTTGGTGATGTATGTATACATGTTCAGCCCCAAGAGGTTGACCCTGACATCTTCTGCTCCCAGCAGGTAAGCCTCCTGTAGCTCTGGTATTGGAGCCATGGTGATAGAAAGCTTCTTCACTTCCCAGGAGAAAGGCTTCATTTTGCTTTTTGCTTTGCTGTAGAGCTAACAATCACCTTGGGGTTTTCTTCCTTTTCAAACTAATTGATATGTGACTAAGCTATTTTCCTAACCTGGCAAGGGCTTAAAGACCCTAGAGGAATGACTCAGCTCTTGGTGTGTGGAAAACTCTTCCCATTCTCTCCTCTAAAGGCATGTGTGCCTTTCCAGTTGTACCTGTTTCTTTGCAGATTCTACATATTATATATAGGCTATGGTTTAAAAAGAAAAAAGAAAGAATGATGAAAACAAAACCCAGTTTATTATAAGTCATTGCTTGTTTTGGTCAAAGATAAAGGCCAGGCTTGAGGCAAACCCAGAAGGGGTCTTGTGAGTCTGCATCGTCCTAATGGGGAAAGTGTTAGTACACTGTAAGAATGAGTGTGGCAGATGGAAATTGTCAGATATGAAGATGCCCATGTTGGCAATGGATCTAGTTCTTCCTTGCTGAATCTCAAACAGAAGGGAACAAGATGGAGTCTAGAAGAAACTCCAAAGGTCAAGGACAAGTTCAACACTTCTGTAAGGGGTTACATTCGGTTCTTTGGGTTAGTAGGAGGAGGGTGTACCTTCTCCCTCAGTCTAAAGCAATACCTTTTAAGATTTAAGTACAATCAGTCCTCACCTTTCCTATTCCCCATAAATATTTAAAGACTATCTATCTGGGGCTGGGAAGGTGGCTCAGTGGTAGAGTGCTTGCCTTGCATGCCTGAGGCCCTGGGTTCGATTCCTCAGCACCACATAAGCAAAAAAAGAAAAAAGCCAGAAGTGGCGCTGTGGCTCAAGTGGTAGAGCGCTAGCCTTGAGCTGAAGAGCTGAGGGACAGCGCCCAGGCCCAGAGTTCAGGCCCCACGACCGGACCCAAAAAAAAAAAAAAAAAGACTATCTATCTGGACACCAGTGGCTCATGACTATAATCCTGACAACTCAGAAGGCTAAAAACTGGAGGATCAGGGCTGGGAAGGTGGCTCAATGGTAGAGCGCTTGCCTTGCATGCCTGAGGCCCTGGGTTCGATTCCTCAGCACCACATAAGCAGAAAATAAAAAAGCTGGAAGTGGTGCTGTGGCTCAAGTGGTAGAGCGCTAGCCTTGAGCTGAAGAGCTGAGGGACAGCACCCAGGCCCAGAGTTCAGGCCCCACTTCCGGACAAAAAAAAAACACAAAAAACTGGAGGATCAGTTTGAAGCCAACACAGTCAGAAAATTCCAAGAGATTACATCTCAAAAATAACCATCACACCTTGACAGTGATTGGTTCCTCTTCCTCCCCTGCCAAGCCACCTGCCCTTTTTGGCTTTACAAAGGGCTGCTCTCTGTTAATAAACGAGTTTTCTACCTGCAAAAAAAATGAAAAATAAATAACCATCACAGTTGGGCACTAGTCACCCACATTTGTAATCCTAGTTAGTCAGAAGGCTGAGATCTGAAGATCCTGGTTCAAAGCTAGTGTGGGTAAGAAAATCCATAATACTGTTATCTCTAATTAAGCACCAGAAAACTGGAAGTGGAGCTGTTGTTCAAAATGGTAGAGTGCTAGACTTGAGCAAAAAAGCTCAGAAACAGTGCCCAGGCCCTGAGTTCAAGACCCACAACCAATAAATAAATAACCATCACCAGGACTGGAATCCACGAGCTGGTGGCTCACATCCATAATTCTAGCTACTCAAGAGGCTGAGATCTGAAGACCAAAGTTCAAAGCAGTCCTGCACACACATGTTCTCAAGATACTTATCTCCAGTTAACCAGTAAAAGAGCTAGAATTGGACATATGGCTCAAGTGGTAGAGTGCCAGCCATGAGTGAAAAAGCTGAGAATTTGACCCCACTCTGGGTTCAGGCTCCAGTACCAGCGAGCACGCGCACACACACGCGCGCGTGCGCACACACACACACACACACACACACACACGCTGGACTGGAACATGGCTAAGTAGTAGAGTTTCAGTAAAGCAAGCAAGCCATGCAAGTGCAAGGCCCTGAGTTCAAATGCTGGTGCCATCAAGAAAAAAAAAATAATAATAAGGCTGTTCCTGAGCCTTCAGCACTTCTGTTGATTACTTACAGGTAGTGTCTTCCTACTTCTATATTGCCTTCCCTCCCTAAAGATACATGGCCACAGCCATTCACCTGGTATGTCCTTTGTATTCAGCAATAGGAGGAGTTTAGGTCTTTTAGGAATAATCACTCAGGTTTAATAGCTAATTTTCTATATAATTATTTTAAGTAACCTATTTTTCTTTCAAATTGTAATTAGTATATGTCACCTTTAAGACAGAACATCTGGATTAATTAAGACTAATCTAACCAGGCACTGATGGCTCACACCTGTAATCCTAGCTACTCAGGAGGCTGGCATCTCAGGATTACAGTTTAAAGCTACTTTGAGCATACAAATCCGTGAAACTCTTACGTCTAATTTACCAGCAAAATGCCTCAAGTGAAGCTGTGTTTCAAGTGATAGAGTACCAACCTTGAGATAAACAGGAATGTGAAGCTCTGAGTTCAAGGCCTAGTACAAGTATACATACATATACAAGAATCATTAAAAGCCAAGCACACCTATTCCTGTTTCTCATATCAGAGGGTTTTACTGGCCCTTCACTAGTGATAATTGAGTAGTACAAAATATCTAAATGAGGCTGGGAATGTGGCTTAGTGATATAGTGCTTGTCTAGTATGCATGAAGCCCTGGGCAATTCCTCAGTATCACATAAACAGAAAAAAACAGAAGTGGCACTGTGGCTCAAGTGGTAGAGTGCTAACCTTGAGCAAAAGAAGCTCAGGGACAGTGCCCTAGTCCTGAGTTCAAATCCCAGGATTGGCAAAAAAAATAAAATCTGAATGAAGACCTAAAATTATATGCATGTTGGTTTTTATACTACTAATTTAGTCACACCAGGTAGAAATTTTCATTAAACAGCAATATGAGACATATTGCTACAGTGAAAATCAATTTTAGAAATTCAGACATCCTAAAATAGCTCTATCTGAAACATGTCTCATAGAAATATTAAAAATGTTTTCATCTCTAACCAGTACCTATAACTACTTTCATAAAATGTTTCTCCAAAAAGTCAATTATCATTATTTGTCCCATTTTTATGAAATCTAATATTAAGTAAAAATGTATAGGTTTGCTTTTTAAAAAACAAGTGTGTGCTGTTTCTCAAAATTTAAGGAAATGCCCTAATCTAAAATGCGTCTAGGAATCTTTTTTAAAAAATGAATAAGTGAATGAATGAGTCAAGGGAAATAATGTTTGTGAAAGTGGTCTGTAAATTCTGAAGCACAACCTTCTTAAGACATCATGGATATTTGCATGAAATGGTGTCATAAAGCACTACTAAACCCTGTTTCCTAATGGGACACTACTGCTTTGTCACCAGGGAGCCAATTTCACCAGGCACATAGTGCCTCAACTCTTATCTATGCCTGCTCCCCAATTCAAACCCAGAGAGCACTTCTGAATAAGGCTTCCTCCTTCTGCACCTTCCTCACTCAGCTAGATTCTCTCTTGTCCCCACAGTTCTGAATGACATCATTTCGACCATGTTCAATAGAAAGTTTATGGAGGAACTGTTCAAACCTCAAGAGCTCTACTCCAAGAAGGCCCTGAGGACTGTTTATGACCGCCTGGCTCATGCTTCCATTATGAGACTGAACCAGGCCAGCATGGATAAGGTGAGCAGACAGCTACTCAGTTGGTTTAGCTGCATTTCTTTTTTTTTTTTTTTTTTGGGTCCGGTCATGGGGCCTGAACTCTGAGCCTGGGCGCTGTCCCTCAGCTCTTTTAGCTCAAGGCTAGTGCTCTACCACTTGAGCCACAGCGCCACTTCCGGCTTTTTTTCTTTTTGCTTATGTGGTGCTGGGGAATCGAACCCAGGGCCTCATGCATGCAAGGCAAGCGCTCTACCACTGAGCCACCTCCCCAGCCCCATAGCTGCATTTCTTATACCCTTCTGGATGGTCCTAGACTAGGATCAGATAAAATGACCTAAGCAATGATGCCTTGCAAGAAATAAAAACTTGTAAATCTTGCCAGGCACCAGTGGCTCACACCTATAATCCTAGCTACTCAGGAGACTGAGATCTGAGGATCATGGTTCAAAGCCAACCTGGGCAGGAAACTCCATGAGACTCTTATCTCCAATAAACCACTGTAAAGTGGTGCTGTGGCTCAAGAGGTAGAGCACTCACCTTGAGCTGAAGAGCACAGGGACAGTACCCAAGCCCAGAGTTCAAGCCCCATGACTAGGAAAAAAAAAAAAAAAAAACCTTGTGAATCTTAGTGGTAGTTGAGTTTTTGAGTTGGGAAGAACCTTGGAAGTCACCTTCATCAACCTCTCTATTGTAGCTTTTATCATACCACCTGCCTAAAGAGAATCCTGCTTTTCATGCCAGCATTTATGAGCCAGAGAGCATATGCCACCCAATACAAGCACGCAGTACCCAAAACATCAATTTGAGGGGGAAGTGGAAGAGAGGGGAAAAAAGGGTAGTTGGGAGAGAGTAGATATAATCCAAGTATAACATACACATATATGGAAATGTCATGAAGACTATTAATACATACAATGCATATGCATTCATAATTGTAATCTTTAAAAAGCAAAAAAATAAATATTTTGCCAGGTGCTGGTGGCTCATGCCTGTAATCCTAGTTACTCAGGAGGCTGAGATCTACCAGCCTAGGCAGAAAAGTTCCTATAAGACTCATATCTCCCGTGGAAAAAATTATATTAAGTGAAGTAAGCCAGGCCCAAAGAAACAGAGGTCCCATGGTTTCCCTTATTTGCAACATCTAGTATATGTCTGAATCAAGCAGAAAAGGTCAGGTAAGTTTATGTTAGGGAAATGAATTCTAAGATATATATTCAAATGTTTTTTTTTCTTTCATGTGATTGTTTCTAACACATTTATAAGATTATTTCTTTGTTGCGTTGTATGACCCTCCTCCACAGTATAACCCCTGCTTTCACTGTATTTGATGTCGGTATAATTTGTGGAGGGGAAGGGGAAAAACAAATCATTTAAATAGGGATACAGATGGGCCCATTGCAACAATGAGATGTACAAGTCATTATGTCGAAAACAAACTTTACAACTTTGGTGGGGGGGAGGGGGATTGGGGGGGCAGGGGGAGGATGGGAAGGGGAAAACAAAGGAGGAGGCTACAATGCTTGATAAGAAATGTACTCATGGGCTGGGAAGGTGGCTCAGTGGTAGAACACTTGCCTTGCATGCCTGAGGCCCTGGGTTCGATTCCTCAGTACCACATAAGCAAAAAGAAAAAAGCAGGAAGTGGCACTGTGGTTCAAGTGGTAGAGCACTAGCCTTGAGCTGAAGAGCTGAGGGGCAGTGCCCAGGCCCAGAGTTCAAGCCCCATGACCGGACCCCCCCCCAAAAAAGAAATGTACTCATTATCTTGCCCATGTAATTGTAACCTCTCTGTACAGTATTTTCACAATAAAAAAAAAAGACTCATATCTCCAACTAACCATCAAAAATTGGAAGTGGTGCTGTGGCTCAAGTGGTAGAGCACTAGACTTGAGCTCAGAGATACTCAAGGACAGGGCTCAGGCCCTGAGTTCAAACCCCACAATGACAAAAACAAATGACAACCAAAAAAAAAAAACCTACTAACTTATTTGCAACAAATAGCTCTGCAGTAAGAAAACCAGGCCTTTTTTTTTCTAAAGCAAATCTGAAATGCGCAGCCTTGACTTATAATATGAATATGCCTATTTCTTTGGGGAAACAAATTACCAGGGCAGTCTGATTGTGTATGGGTGTATACTCACACACACACAACACACTGGTCCTGGGGCTTGGGCTCACTAAGGCCTGGGCACTGTCTCTAAGCTTCTTTTGCTAAAGGCTAGCACTCTACCACTTTGGCCACAGTGCTGCTTCCAGCATTTTCTGAGTAGTTTATTGGAAATAAAAAGTCTCACAGAAGCCGGGCGCTGGTGGCTCACTCCTGTGTAATCCTAGCTACTCAGGAGGCTGAGATCTGAGGATCGCGGTTTAAAGCCAGCCCAGGCAGGAAAGTCTATGAGGCTCTTATCTCCAATAAACCAATAGAAAACTGGAAGTGGCGCTGTGGCTCAAGTGGTAGAGCGCTTGCCTTGAGCTGAAGAGCTCAGGGACAGCGCCCAGGCCCAGAGTTCAAGCCCCACGACCGACCAAAATCAAAAAAAACTCTCACAGACTTTCCTACCTGGCTAGCTTCCAACTGTGATCCTCAGATCTCAGCCTTCTGAATAGCTAGGATTATAGGCATGAGCCACCAGTTCCATGCTAGAACAGTCTGGTTTTTAAATACTAATTCCACACAATTGAAAGGATAGATGAAGCTGTTCAGAAAGATTTAGAATAATTTATGTAGATATTCTATCACTAGGAAACGAGAACTAAAGCCCCACTTGTTACTCTCATTTGTTAAGTCATTGTTTGACTTCCTTTCAAAGAGTGCAGCATGGGAAAGAGGAGGAAACAGCTTCACTCCTCTCCACCTATAACCTATCTAACCATGAGAAAAACACCAAAGATATTGTCACACTACCAAATATCTAATCCATATTCAAAACTGCCAAAGTCATCAAAATTAAGGCAAGTCAGAGAAAACCTCATAGACAAGAAGAGACCTGGAAAACACAAAGATTAAATGTAATGTGATGTCCTTGATAGTATCCTAGAACACAAATAGGAGAGAACTAATGAAATTCTAATAAAGCATATACACTTTAGTTAATTTAGAAAATAATAATTATTGCGCCATTTTGTTTTTTTCTATACAGGTTATTTCATTCATATGTTTTTTTCATTTGTTTGTTTGTTTTGTCGGTCATGGGGCTTTAACTCTGGGCCTGGGCACTGTCCCTGAGCTCTTCAGCTCAAGGCAAGCGCTCTATCACTTGAGCCACAGCGCCATTTCCAGCTTTCTGGTGGTTAATTGGAAATAAAGAGTCTCACAGACTTTCCTGCCTGGGCTGGCTTTGAACCATGTTCCTCAGACCTCAGCCTCCTGAGTAGTTAGGATTACAGGTGTGAACCACTAATGCCCAGCATTAATGTTATGTATAGTGACATAAAATATGTAATTTATATATATATATATACATATGTAATTTTTTAATTACAAGGACTGATAATAATAACAACACATAATAGATGTGAAAAATCAACAGTTACTCATTCCTCAAGGAGCCAGATTACCTTTAACTGGGCTTGCTTACCTCCTGCCATTTTCCTTTGGAAAGTTGATGATCTCCTTGACTCCATTTCCTTACCTAATATCAAGGTGGCCCCTTTCTCAGCCTGCCCAGAAAGCTAGAAGGCATTTCCTACTCCACATCATGACTGGCCGCAGACCTGTCATGGAGCCAAGAGTATCAAAGAGAAGGACTAAGAAATCACATGTGCCGGGATAGGAAGGTGGCTCAGTGGTAGAACGCTTGCCTTGCATGCTCGAGGCCCTGGGTTCAATTCCTCAGTACCACATAAGCAGGAAAAAAAAGCCGGAAGTGGCGCTGTGGCTCAAGTGGTAGAGCGCTAGCCTTGAGCTGAAGAGCTGAGGGACAGTGCCCAGGCCCAGAGTTCAGGCCCCATGACCGGACCCAAAAAAAAAAAAAGAAATCACATGTGCCAACCAACCAATATGTCAAAATCAAGCCCAACTGACAGAAAGCCAGGGGTACTGACAATAGGGTGTGAAGATTAAAGGCCAATCATTTTATATTTTAATCCTGCCCCATCCATGCCCTGTTTCTCCTGTCCTCCTTCCCCAGACTTCCTTACCTCCTTCTCTCAGGCACTGGGCCCAACATGCTTTTTGAACTTCCTTCATCCTCATTCCCCTAATCTAGTTGGTACTCAGCAGGTACTGAAAACTTGCTTTCTAAAAACCCATGGTCCTCCCTTCCCTACTTTTCCATTCCCAACACTGCTCTTCTAGGCATTAATTCTGGACCTCTAATATTTCTTTTTTTTTTTTTTTTGGAGTCCGGTCATGGGGCCTGAACTCTGGGCCTGGGCGCTGTTCCTCTGCTCTTCAGCTCAAGGCTAGCGCTCTACCACTTGAGCCACAGTGCCACTTCCAGCTTTTTTTTCTTTTTTTTGCTTATGTGGTGCTGGGAAACCGAACCCAGGGCCTCATGCATGCAAGGCAAGCGCTCTACCACTGAGCCACCTTCCCAGCCCCTAATATTTCTTTTGTTTGTATAATTACTAGATATTGATTCATACCAACTAGAAACTAGGTACTAGAGACTCCCCCTAATGTCAGTCTCTTTTCTCCATTCTTACCACCAGATAACTAATCTCATTTAATCACCAGTATTTATCATCTCAACTTAGAAATGTCAGAGAGAGAGAGAGAGTGTGTGTGTGTGTGTTGTGTGTGTGTCAGTCCCGGGGCCTGAAGTCAGGGACTGGGCTCTGTCCCTGGGCTTTTTTTTTTTCCTCAAAGTTAGCTCTCTGCTACTTGGCCACAGCTCCACTTCTGGCTTTTTTTGGTAGTTAATTGGAGATCAGAGTCACAGATCTTCCTGCCTGGGCTGGCTTTGAACCTCAATCTTCAAGAAGACTCAGCTTCTTGAAGAACTAGGTTTACAGGTGGGAGCCACCGGTGCCTGGCCTGTGCCTGTCTTTCAAAAACATTTAATATTCTAGGGCTGGGAAGGTGGCTCAGTGGTAGAGTACTTGCCTTGCATACCTGAGGCCCTGGGTTCAATTCCTCAGCACCACATACACAGAAAAAAGCCAGAAGTGGCACTATGGCTCATGTGGTAGAGCGCTAGCCTTGAGCTGAAGAACTGAAGGACAGCACCCAGGCCCAGAATTCAAGCCCCATGACTGACAAAAAACTGAACAAAAAATTTAACATTCCAGCTTTTCCTTACCCAATTGGGTTTTTTTGTTGTTGTTGTTTGTTTGTTTTTGGTCTGAGATCATCAGGACTTGAATTCAGTAGTTGAAACTTTTTAATCATTGGCTAGTGCACTACCAACTGAACCAAGACTCCGACACCTTACTTACCCAATTCTGTCTCCCTGAATCTCCAACATACACTGTCCTCAAGCCATTTGTCTCTTTCTCCCAGGAAAATCACATACATATTGCTACCTCCTGATCATCACCCACTCCTTTCCCCTCAGCCAGTCTACACCCTGTGATTTCTGCAGGTCTATATCAGGACTACTTCTGCCATAAAGCCTGTCTCAGATACCTTATTCTCCCCTCTGAGCCTTTGTATCACATATGGAGCTTGTTGCTATCTTAGTGGTTTTCATCATGTAAAAAGTGTTCTGAGTTGTACAACTTTCCATTTGCCCCTTTGACACATATCGTCTGTCTCAGCAACCTGTCCTTTGTCCTCTCAGCAACCCCGCAATGTTGATTTAGGGAGTGCTTTTTATAGATGAGAAAACTCAGACTCAGAGAGGTTAAGAAACTTGGCCAGGACTAGGAATATGGCTCAGAGATAGAATGCCTGCCTAACATACACACACACACACACACACAAACACACACACACACACACACACACACACACACACGAGGGAAGGAATGGGAAAGAAAGGAGGGAGAAAGGAAGGAGAGACAAACTTAGCCAGGGCCATACAGAAAGTAAACAGCAATGGAGTCCTTGAGTTCAGGTGGGTGTTCCACCTCCAAATCCAGTGCCATAGTACCACTGCTACCAGTGTTGTATATGGTTTCAGCAGTATACGATGTGAGATGACCAGAAATCCTGGTTTTCTCCTGTTCTGCCTTTTTTACAAACAGCATGCCCTTTCTCTCAGATGTGGTCACTTAAGCTGTGTGGTGGATCCAGAGGTAATTATCAGTAAATACTTGGCTGAGTCGTTGCTGACAGTTCTGATATCTGCTTTTAGATCCCACTTACTTTGTTTGTGTGTGGTTGACAGCTCTACGACCTGATGACCATGGCTTTCAAATACCAAGTATTGCTGTGTCCCCGTCCCAAAGATGTGCTGCTGGTCACTTTCAATCATTTAGATGCCATCAAGGGATTCATCCAAGACTCCCCAACCATCCTGCATCAAGTGGATGAGACTTTACGGCAGCTTACAGAAGTAAGACTATCACCAATTTATTGCCTCTCAGCCCCAACATTTATTTCCATTGCACTGTAAGAGCAGGTACGTTCTAGGAGGGAGAACAGAGTGAGCAGTGACAAAGGCTGTCACTCTCCCAAAAAATTCTAAAAGCCAACAATAGGCATTCTCAGGCCTCCAGCTGCCACCTTCGTAACTAGAATGAAGAGATATAAAGCATCTCCTTTTTCTCCTGACTTTTCTGAAAGGGAACTAGTGGTGGGTATCTGCTAAATCTTGAGAAACAGCTTCTCTAGGTCTGTGGAGAATGGAAAACTCAAAGTGCATCCCCATACACTACAGCACAGCATGGTCTGACTAATGGGGAGGGTGCCTACTGGCAATCCCACTTCTGCTCCTCCTTTCTGGTCTGGTCCCACCCCTGAGCATCCTGACCCTGACTGTTCATACTGCTCTCTCCCTGAGAAAGTTAAGTGTTTCTCTCTGGCTTGCCTTTGACAGACATATGGGACTCTCTCTGCTGGAGAGTTCCAGCTGATCCGACAGACACTCCTCATCTTCTTCCAAGACCTGCATATTCGGGTAAGTAAGAGGGCAACCAAGCCCCCTCTGCCACCGGCAACTGCTGACCTCGGGACATATGGATCAACAGGGCAGACAGGGACTGAGATTTTGCCTAGCTGGTAACATGTGACATGGTTTGAATCCATGATGATAAGCACTCACATAATACATCTCAGCAATTTTTAAACCACAGGAAACAATGATAGTACCGATCTCTCCCAGTTACATTATGAGTTTCTTTGAAATATGGTTATGTCTCTTGCTTCTGCCAAAAAAATGTGTTCTTATGCACCAGGCTAATCTCAATCCCAAACCTTTTCTTTACTTCCTCAGCATCAGGTACTGTCCAGAGGCTGCCTTCCAACCCATAAACCTCTCACCTTCCCTGAACTTTCATGCTTCATAAATCTGCCTTCACTTCCTCTCCCCTTGCCTATCTCCAAGCCTTCCTCCTCCTGCTTCCACCTATCCTCTGTTCTTTTTTTTTTTGCCGGTTGTGGGGCCTGAACTCTGGGCCTGGGCACTGTCCCTCAGCTCTTCAGCTCAAGGCTAGCGCTCTACCACTTGAGCCACAGTGCCACTTCCGGCTTTTTCTGCATATGTGGTGCTGAGGAATCGAACCCAGGGCCTCATGCTTGCAAGGCAAGCACCCTACCACTGAGCCACCTTCCCAGCCCCTATCCTCTGTTCTTGAGGGATTTCTTTCCTCCCTGCTTTGGCTACCAACTTCTATGCCTATGACATCTGACTCTAACTTCTACTCTACTCTTGCTTCTCTCCCCCACCCCCACAGCTCCACCTACTTGATGAAATCCCAGCAAGACTCCCACCAGGGCCTCTACCTCCTTGGCTGTGACTACTCTAATCTCCACAATTCAAGTGCTGCCTGACTTTCTTGTTTCTTCTGAGGCCACTGCCTTCCCCCCACTCACTTGGCTCAGAACTAGTGTCATTTTTTTATTCCTCTTCTCTGATCTTCATTCAGTTGCTTCTAAGGCATATAAAGCCTCCTTCCATAGCCACCCTCTGCTCCATTCCTGCTGCCTCCAGCCTACCTAGGGTTGAAATATTTCTCCCCCTTTTGTCTTTACTTTTTTCCTTTTTTTTCCTTTTTTTTTTGGTCAGTCATGGGGCTTGAACTCCAGGCCCGGGCACACTGTCCCTCAGCTCTTCAGCTCAAGGCAAGCACTCTACCACTTAAGCCACAGTACCACTTTGGTTTTCTGGTGTTTTACTGGAGATAAGAGTCTCACAGGGCTGGGAAGGTGGCTCAGTGGTAGAGCGCTTGCCTTGCATGCCTGAGGCCCTGGGTTCGATTCCTCAGCACCACATAAGCACAAAGAAAAAAGCCGGAAGTGGTGCTGTGGCTCAAGTGGTAGAGCGCTAGCCTTGAGCTGAAGAGCTGAGGAACAGCGCCCAGGCCCAGAGTTCAGGCCCCATGACTGGACTCAAAAAAAAAAAAGAGTCTCACAGACTTTCCTGCCCAGGTTGGCTTTGAACCTGGATCCTCAGATCTCAGCCTCTTGAGTAGCTAGGATTACAGGCATGAGCCACCAGCACCCAGCAAAACTTTGTAATTGGGGTTGGGGGGGTGGGGAAGGTTATTATTGTTTGTGCCAGTTCTGGAGCTTGAACTCAGGGCTTTTTCTGTTTATGTGGTACTGAGGAATTGAACCCAGGGCTTCATGCATGCTAGGCAAGCTCTCTACCACTAAGCCACATTCCCCCTTCTTTTTCTTTTCTTTTTTTTTTTCTTGTGGTACCTAAGTTTGAACTCAGGGGCTTCATATTTACTCGGCTTGCTTGCTCTGCTAGGATTCTATTACTTAAGCCATGACTCAAGCCTGGATTTTTGCTGGTTATTTTGGAGAGTGAGTCTCATACTTTTTTGTCTGCATTGACTTTGAACCATGATCCTCCAGATCTCAGCCTCCAGAGAAGCTAGGGTTATAGGTATGAGCCACCAGCACCTGGCTTGCTTATTTGTTTGTTTGCTAGGGCTGAGGCTATGCAAAGCCCTCCATCATGGGCAACAGCCCCAGCCTGGGTTCACATATTTCTTGCCCACTATACCCCAAATTACCTTCTTTCTCCTGCCATGACTAAACAATTCTGTACCTCTTTAAAAGCACATTTCAGAGCTTCTAAATTCAGGCCTGTCTCTCTTGAACAGGACTCTGGTCCTATTGAATTTAGCAAACTCTCATGGGAAAGATGGTAGGATTTTACAAAATAACCAAGGCTCTACAGTTAGATACTCATTGTGTTTAAATCCAAACATATGGTTGTGACTTTGGGCAAATTATTTCTCTTGAGCCTTAGTTTCTTGCCTAAAAAAATAGATATTACAATATCTAATTTACTTTGCTGGCGAGATTAAATGGAGTAGCATATACAACGTTCATGCATATGGTATAGAGTGCTTTGGGAAAGACATGAAAGAAACTGATCATAGTAGTTACAGAGAGGCTTTGTCATTATACCCCCTTGTGAACCTGTGCATTTGTAACACAGTCAACTTAAAGAAGACAAAGAAGAAAAGTGTATAGTGCCTGATTTTATTTCCTTTCCACAGACTCAGGAACACAAATTGATTTCAATTCTAATGTCAATTTTTTTTTTTTTGGTCGGTCATGGGGCTTGAACTCTGGGCATTAGCGCTGTCCCTGAGCTTTTCAGCTCAAGGTGAGTGCTCTGCCGCTTGAGCCACAGCACCACTTCTTTCCTGCCCATGCTGGCTTTGAACCACTGTCCTCAGATCTCAGCCTCCTGAGTAGCTAGGATTTACAGGCATGAGCCATCGGTGCCCGGCTCAATTTTATTTTTAATGCTCATAAATTTGGCTGTATTCACTATGGATGGAACAATGACATCAATATAAATTAAGATCTCGAATCATCATGTATTAAAATTTTCAAAAGTACAAATAATACTGTTTCACAATAAATTTAAAAATCATTGTTAAGCCAGGCACCCGTGGCTTATGCCTGTAATCCTAGCTACTCAGGAGGGTGAGATCTGAGGATCACTGTTCAAAGCCAGCCAGGGCAGGAAAGTCCATGAGACTTTTTTTTTTTTTGGGGGGGGGGGTCCGGTCGTGGGGCTTGAACTCTGGGCTTGGGCGCTGCCCCTCAGCTTTTCAGCTCAAGGCTAGTACTCTACCACTTGAGCCACAGCTCCACTTCTGGCTTTTTTCTTTTTGCTTATGTGGTGCTGAGGAATCGAACCCAGGGCCTCATGCATGCAAGGCAAGCCCTCTACCACTGAGCCACCTTCCCAGCCCCCCATGAGACTCTTATATCCAATAAACCACTAGAAAACCAGAAGTGACGCTATGGCTCAATTGGTAGAGCACTCGCCTTGAGCTGAAGAGCTGAGAGATAGCGCCCAAGCCCAGAGTTCAAGCCCCACGACCGGCCAAAAAAAAAAAAAATCATTGTTAAAATATGGAAAATTCCACAGAGTAGTAGGCAAGTTTTATGGATTACAGTAATACAAAGAACCGTATTGATTTCTCATACTGATAAAATTAAATGTATTATTATGAACACTGGCCTAATAACAATTCTATATCAAAATCATTAAAATGTTTGAAGCCACAAGATGCATTTAGCTTTCATTTCTAACTGAGCAGGCAATGAAACATCCAAATGTTTATCAAGAGAAATAGAAGTCACATGTCCAGACAATAACCTGTCAATGATCTTTAACATCTGGAAAGGTTCCCCTGTTTTGTCTTTAATGGTATTTCTTTTTTTTTTTTTTTTGGGTCCAGTCGTGGGGCCTGAACTCTGGGCCTGGGCGCTGTCCCTCAGCTCTTCAGCTCAAGGCTAGCGCTCTACCACTTGAGCCACAGCACCACTTCCGGCTTTTTTCTTTTTGCTTATGTGGTGCTGAGGAATCGAACCCAGGGCCTCAGGCATGCAAGGCAAGCGCTTTACCACTGAGCCAACTTCCCAGCCCCTGTCTTTAATGGTTTTTCTACTTAAATGCAATTTGTGATTGCCTATACATATTTTCTGTTTTCAAAATAGTATTGTTTTTAGAGTTATTAGCAAAATCAAGTCAAGAAAACACAGTTCTATTCTAATAACTCCTTCATTGTTTAACCAGAGTACATACAAAACTGATAGTCCAAATATCAAAGCTCTCTGTAATAGTTCCAAAGAATGTGAAATCTCCTTAGGATGGCCAAGGTTCTGACTTGTATACGTGGATTTAGCAACTGTACTAAGACCAATTCCATTTTAAAAACCTCAACAGTTACAACTATGAGCAAAGTCCTAAGAGTTGCCTCCTAAAATCAAGGCTTCTCTGGTCACTCATCCTCTCCCATTCCTATTCATTCCTATTCATGCACCCCACCCCTCCAGCATTAACTTTCCTCCTATTCTTTCCATTGTCTCCATTGAGAAAACATCTTCACAGAATGTTCCCCATACCTTTCACACCATTAGCTACTCTACTTAAAACTATTTCATCCCTGGAAATTTTAAGTCTAGCAAATAGTTAGTGACTGCCAACTATTTGTCATGCTGTTTTGAGTGTTTGAGATACATAAATGAATGAGAACAAGTTGCTCCTTTGAGAAGGTTCTATGCTAGAAGGAAGACCCAGAAAGAAAAGTATGACCATGTTCTTGCACTGCTAACTTTAGGAAAATGGCAATATTCAATAAAATTATAAAGGATAACTAAGATGGGTTGCTACATTAAACAGCACTACCTACCATAGCTCTCTGTAGTGATGGAAATGTTCTGGGCCTGGGCTGTCTAGTACAATAAACATTTGTTACACATGACTTTTTTTGGCTGGGCTTTTTTGCTTATAGCTAGCACTCTACTACTTTAATAATACCCTTAGTTCTGGCTTTTTGCTGACATAAGAGTCTGTCAGGTCTGTCTGCCTACATTGGCTACAAACCATGATCCTCAGATCTCAGCCTCCTGAGTAGCTAAGATTATAGACATGAGCCTCCCACACCTAACTATACATGGTAATTGAGTACTTAGAATATA